AAACATGATACATAAGAGTATTTGGCATATATCTATTCACAATTAAGAGGAATCTAGGCTATTTTTCCAAGCAGGCATTATATGTACTTTTATGATTCAGTATTTTCACCCCAGTGCATATAGATCATGTTTGCATATTATGAACATACCATACCCTTAAAAGATAATTCTAAGAGAGGCAGATACGGACAAGTGCTATTTTTAGTATGTTAAAATTCTTATTATAGGCCCAATTTTCAAGCACCATCTCTTTAACAGTATGTCCAATATCCAAGAAGCACAAAGGCATTTAAAATGTGCCTAAAGCCTTAAAATTCAACCTATCTTACAAGGAGTTGCCTACCTTGCAAGGTCATTGTGTATCACTGGGTCCCTGTATACAAAAAAAAAAAAACAAGAACAGAAAATAAAAACAAAAAACCATTCCCCATCCTGCAAGCCAGGTGGGATTTTAAGGATTGAGAACAGAAAATGGCATTTGAATGTCATGTTTAAGAGACAGCATTTGAAAACTGGGCTCAGTCAAGGAAAAAGAAAAAGAAAAATTAAGACACAGAAAGAAATAAAAGAAATTAAGTCATTTTTGCAATCTTATATCCTGGGAGACATGTCGTTTTCACACCAAGGAAAGAAAATCAGACCACCACGAGTTATCCAAAACATTTATTTTAAGCTTTATAAGAAGTTAATGAACATGGAATAATGAACAATTGAAGAAAAAAGGGAAATGGCAAGAAAAAAAAATTTTTTTTGGTGAGATGCGGGAGATTGTCGTGCATCTCCCTGGTTCCTGAAAGAGAGAGAGAACATATTAAAAAAAAAAAAACCTTTTCTATTTATGCAATTGTATCACACTGGAAACATCTCTGCCCTTTTTTTTTACTGCTCATAAAGAGCCCGCTGCTCTGAACACAGTACTACATATTTAATTGATGATAACTCATAAGAATTTTCTTCTCACAAATGCCAGAGCATCCCCACTCACATGGCCACAAATGCCACAAAAACGGTTTCCTTTGAACACTTACGATTTTTTTTCCAGCTTTTCCCACACTGTTGTCTTATTTGGATGTGAGGAAACCTTCTTCAATTGCTGTTCTGTGGCAAAGAAAAACAACTAAGTACCTGTTATGAAAGGGCTTCATGTTTAGGAATAATCAGATTAATGCGGTTTAAAGTAATAAAAATTCATAATAATAATACTGATTGCAACTGACAGCTGTATGTTAATGTGGAGACTTAAAAAATCCTCATTTCTATTCACGACAGCCAACGTTTTCAAGAGGGACAATTTTATGTGCCCAACTTGAGACACAGACCCTGACTTTCAGAAGTGTTCAGCACCCACTGTTTACCTACTGACTTCAGATGAAATTGCCAGAGTTTGTTTCTGAAAAGTCAGACTCAAAGCATTTACAGTTGGGCACCCAAAATTATGGATACTTGAAAATGTAAGCTAAGTCTTTTCTTCCCCCAATACTCTTACTCCAAATACTTTTCTATTTAATATTTAAAAAAAACATAGCTATGGCAAATATATGGGCCAGATTCTATTCTCTGCTACACTGGTGTGAATCCACAGTAAATTCTCTAAAGTCTAAATAATCACTCTTAGCTACATCAATATAAATGAGGGCAGAATATGTATAATCACAAAAATAACAGAGGCATATAAGTTCTGAATACTGTCCTCAAAAACCATTACGGCATGTCCTAAGTAATGGTAACAATTCAAAGATTCATTATCATTACTTCTGACTACAATATCAACTAACACTTCCAATAAGTAACAAAAATATATTACTTACAAGAACATTCTACAGGTACTCTTCATTAAACCTGGAGCTGCAGTGCCATTTTTTTCTTATCTTTCAATGTAGTGTCTGGTGAAGGTCTGGAAAACCTTTTTCCTATTTACAATCAATGTTGGTAGCGGAAGTTATCAAGGGAGTTGCAGAAGGGGTGTTGTTGTTATTTCCATTTTATTTCTGCAGACAAATCTCGATCCTATATTCCACCACGTTGAAATTAAAAATGGTTTCTGAATCCAGGGCCTTCTGTGCATGATTTCTTCAAACAAGTTAACTTTTTTGTTTCAACCTTAATATAGCATTCACATATTTATTTGCTCTGTGATTTCATTGTTTCAGATGCCATTAAGGTGTGCCACCTTTGAAACAATGGACAACAGTAATGGAATGGAGTATGAATGTTTGTTGGAGGACAGAGCCAATAATATTCATTTTGAATGCTATTAACTGATATTTTTCTCGTAAATAACTACTACTACTTGATGCCAGATACCCGTCAGACTTCTGTGCTGATGATTATTATATACCTGCAAGATTGTACCAGCAGGTAATCTGGCCAAAAGTAGGGAGAGTCCTACATCTACATTTACACCTTAAGCCCAATAAACAAAAATAGATGTTTTATTTTTGAAATGGATACTAAAAGGATACCCAAGGATGCCATCTAAAATTTTCCAGCCATCACTACCCCAGTATTTTGTAATCCAAATTTATTTTCCTCTCATCTAATCCATACTTTATTGTATCACAGTCTTAGGTAGGCTCAGCAAAAATGGAATTATATCTGTGTTATTGCCATTTCTTAGTTTCTCTCTTGACCTTTTAAAGTTCTCTACTCCTGCTAAAACAGCTAATCCTTGCTGTTCTCTGCAGAGGCCCTAAAAATCTGAAGTTGCTTGATAAATCAAATCTATTCCTTGCTAGCAAAATCATGAGATCTTTGGACCTTTTTGGATGTAGAGCATGTATCATAATCAAAAATTTAACTAAAATTTAATAGTCAAAATACTAATTGAAGATAAAAAATTAAAAACAGCTCTTCACAAGCCAAATGAGTTCCACCTATTTATTTTTTTAATGACTAGAGTTCAAGATTCTCTTAATTCTATTAAATATAAATTTCAAATTTCCAACGTTATTTGTATGACTACTGAAATAAAATGACAAATTATGGAGAAAAACACATCACTCAGAGTTCAATGTAATTTGATTAGTGACTTGGAAAGATGACTTTTAGCTAATATTTTATTAATTTTTGTCATGAGGGTAATAAATGAAGTGCAATATTATGAAGATTTTCTTCCCCAAATAGCCAATTAAGCAATTTTGTTTACAAATATACCATAAGTTATATAAATTCACTTTTACTTTTTAAATTTGTTTCTCCTCTTTACTTATTTTAATTTAATGCATGAAATTATTTGATCTTCCCCAAGACTGATGGGGGCACCTACACACACCCTAACTGTGGCTTTATAACATGATTCTGCAACATAGAAAGATTTGCTAGGTTACAGACTGCTAAGTCTCACTCATTCACTAATTCTTTACCTAAAAGCAACAAAAGAAAAAACAGAAACGATTCTTACTTTAAAAAAGTGTGTTTTGAAATCTGATGCTGTCCCTCTGTAATGGGCAATTGTGGTGAGCAGAAAAATGTCAATGCAGCAGACTTAGTATTGTTGAGGTTTCAGTGGTCTATGATATGATAACTCGAGTAGAAGCTAGAATAATGCCTAGGTAATTTTTTCTTTGAGGTTATATGACAAAGTTTTTATTACCTAACTGGAATTTTTATGTATGGATGTTAAATAGTAAGCCCTATCTGAAGAGAAGTACCAACAGCCTATATCCTTCCCCTCAACCAAACAGAAAACAAGCACACACAAAAGAGTCCCCTCCACTATAACTAGGAAACATTAATTTTATAGAGTTATCCTACAAAAATTAATGTAAAAATTCTTGATAGTCACATAATGAAAATATATTTGTTGCTATAAAAATCTTAGTCAGAAAACCAATAACTGTTTATTCCTTCATATTCTGAAGAGACAGTTTCTAAGCAATCTTGCCTTGAGCAATAAATGTACCAGCAGTTGATCTTGCTAGCAGCAGAAAACAGTTCCAACATGAGGGGAGGTCAGGAAAGATTTAAAAAAAGCAAAAATGAAGAAAAAAAGAAAACAACTAATTTACTCTGTATTATCCTAACACAATACAGAAGAAATAGTTCACCACTGAAGAGGCATGCTACCTACAAATAATCTTCTCTATCAGCAATCATAACTTTCTTCTACTGATTAGAACTATACTGAAGTATCACACAGAGGCTCAGTCAGGATTGAGGCCCTCCCTTGGGCAAGGTGCTATGCAGACACAAAGACACAGTCCCTGCCCAAGAGAGCTTACAGTCTAAGAAAGTAAGTGATATACAAAGGGCGAGGAAAGGAGGATACAGCTAAACACAAACAAACTTGTATATACATATGTTTATTTACATTTTGGTAAAATATTAAAGGTCAATCTATCTGCCCCTCCACCTGGCCATCATTAAGTGGATGATTGCTGTATAGAAATCCCAGCAAATGTGGGTCTCAAGGACAGATTTAAATGAGAAGAGGGTAGTGGCCTTATGGATCAGTTCATGCATACGGGACAGTGTGGAAGATGTTATATTAAAAACTGAAATTGTGCAGAGCAGCATTTCTCCAGGTTAGAATTTAAGCTGTGTGTGAAGTCCCTATTTCCTGAGACAGATAGTGTGGTTATGTGAGTAACATTTGGCCATTTAAGAGGGCAAGTGAAATCACCGATGTAGGACTACACTGATATCATGTTACTTGCCACTGTTTCTCAGTGATTGCCAGTTAGCACAGTAACTCTGAGGAGATGATATGGAAGGGTTTGGGAAAAAATCTGAGACAGAAGAAAAATGGGGGTGGATAGAAAAGAGAAGACAAAGGAAGAAATGAGGGAAATATTTTCAAATGTGTTCTTCTGACTGAAAGTTGATTCTTTATGTGTTTGCAAGTTATCAGCTAAATAACTAAAAACATATACAATATTTAATGTACGTTTGACACCATAAAATAAACTGGACCATATGCCAACATTTATAATTATGCTATTATCTTTCACTATGGAAAGGTGAGAAACAGATTAAACAAGAGACAAAATGCTTCCCCTTACCCTTCTTCTTCCGTACTGAAGCTTGGAAACAGAAAGGGAATGAATTGTAAATCAATTCTGAAGGTAAGCCCATTTTAAATGCTAAATCCTTGACTGATTTTTGAACACAAACATTTTTCTTCTATTCTTAAGAGGTCAATCTCTCCATGCTAACTGGATTGTGCATGTATTTTTCAAACCACTTTAAACATAAACATCGTGGCATAGCCCAGTTTATCAGGGTTTATACTTTGACTATATACAAAATTATTGAGTTATAAAACTTAGATATCTCAGCTATGAAGTGTGAGATTTATTTTTTAAAATTAAAAATGATCAATTTGGGCACTTTTACGATATATAAATGGGCTATGAAAATAGGGCATTTAACATCCTTGTAGTTCGGAAGTGGAATGAATTGTAGACATATTTTATATGCCATTAGTTAATACTTTGGATTAATTTATTTGTAGGATAACAGCAACTGCCATTGGTTAGCAGTAGATGGGACACCCATGCACTATTATGGAGAACAGAGTAAAAATATGTCAATAGAAGCAGAAATAGAAGGGGTTCGGAGACAGGCAACAAAAGTGATGGGAGAGACTTCCATATGGAGAGGTTGAAAAGATTAGGACTGTCTAGTTTATAGAGGAGACTAGAGAAGGGCCAGGATAGAGATATACAATATAATGAATGATATAAAAGGAAGGGAAATCCTTTTTACCCTTTCTTGCTATACAATAACAAGGGAACATTCAATGAAATTAAAAGGCAACATATTTAAAACTGATAAAAGAAAACACATTTGTACATAGCACATAAGTAGTGGGGACTCTTTGCTACAAGACATCATTGAGACTAGTTTACTAGATTTAGATGAACTGTTGTCAACTGTTGACATTGTCATTATTCACATATATAAATCTAGTATAAATACACACACCCCCTCTCATACTTCAGGGCATAAACCAACCTCTGTCCAATGGGGATTAATAAGAACATTTCTGTAAGAGAGAATTTATGCAGTACTATGCAGCCTTTTAGGGGATAATGTACCTCTGGATTGAGTTTAAACAGCATTCTTTGGGCCAAGGAAGCCTTGAAAATGGAGGGTTTGTTTAGCCCCATCTGGATGGAAGTGTAGGGGAAGACATGCTTAAAAAAAAAAAAAGAAAAGCAAGTGCAGGTACCTTACTGATTCTCAAAATAGTTTCTGATTAGGATGCCAAAAGCCATAAAGCCTCTACTGTGTGGAGCTAATTAATATCCCCTGGGATAAGTAGGGCTGGGACTGAAGAATGCTCCACCCTTGGGTAGAGAACAGCTCCAGCTACAAAACAACAATTTTTTGAGCCAATTAAAGCATTGTTCTTTCCTGAAGGAGTTCTTTCCTGTCCTCCTTTGCTAGAACAATGGTATGATTCCCCTGCTCACATATACATACAGTAACTCCTCACTTAATGTTGTAGTCATGTTCCTGAAAAATGCGACTTTAAGTGAAAAGATGTTAAACAAATCCAATTTCCCCATAAGAATTAATGTAAATAGGGGAGGTTAGGTTCCCGGGAAATTTTTTTTACCAGACAAAAAACTATATATTATATAGATATACACCCAGTATACGTTTTAAACAAACAATTTACTGTTCGCAGCTATGAGGATTGTGAAGCTTGGTTGCCGCCCCAAGCGGCGAAGAGAGAGAGAAAAAAAAAGGCACGATTGGTGGCACTTCGGCAGCTGCTCTACCGCGCTGCTTCATTCTTTGGCAGCAATTCGGCAGCTGGTCCTTCCCTCTGAGAGGGACTGAATGACTCGCCGCCGAATTGCCGCTCGAGTCCCGGACGTGCCGCCCCTTTGCATTGGCTGCCCCAAGCACCTGCTTCCTGTGCTGGTGCCTGGAGTCGGCCCTGGCTGCAATGGGCTGCTCTTCCTGCAAGCAGTAGACAAAGCAGGCAGCTGCCAAACGACGTTAGAACAGAGCATTGCACAACTTTAAACAATTATGTTCCCTAATTGATCAGCAACGTAACAACGTTAACCGGGACGACTTTAACTGAGGAGTTACTGTACTTGGGCTCCCTGTCACTGAGAAAGTGCGAGTATAAATAGCAGTGTGCCGTAGTGGCAGTGGAGACACCGCTTAGCTGTACTGAGTATGTACTTATGGGGTTCAGGAGGGTTTGTACTGCTATTTATACTTGTGCTAGCTTGATAAGAGCTAGCAGAAGCATGTGTATGAGAGCAGGGGAATCACACCCCTATTTCATAGTGTAGACGTAGCCTACAACTGTAAAGAGGGAGAAATATAGGAATCTCCTCAGGCTCCACAGTGACATGGAAGACTTTGGCGGTGGGTGGGTAGGAGGGCTGCATAAATAATATTTTGCTTATGGCAGATTTGCATGATAAACCAGAATGGTTTCAAAGTAAACAAAATTTTAATACTCTATGAAGGAAAAAAGTCTCACATTTTAAACCCTGGAGGAAAAACATTGGTAATTAACATACCAAAAAAAAAACCCCAAAACAAAAACCTTACATTCAAATAACTAAGGTTATGACAAAAATAATCAAAGCTATGAAAATCTGAGATTTGTACAATTACCACATTAGCCTAAACTAATAGAGTATAATCCTTTGTTTTTGCTTGGTTGTAATATGACCCAGAATAGTTAGGGCCCATTTCAATACCCCTTTCTTGGTCAGAACTCCCACTTAAAGACAGTGAGAGTTTTCATCCCTTAAGGGATGGGTAGTGTCCTTCCTTCCACATAATGTTAGTGCTTTCAAACGTATCACCGTTATTTTATTAATGTGGTTAATTATCCACAAGACTTGACTCCTTTCATCTGAATGATTATGAAACCTGTATTGTTAAATTCATGCGGGATCATAGTAAGGAAAGAAGAGACCTAAGAATGATCAAGTCTATTACTCGGTAAATGAGTGATATAGTTCCTTTATACAAGACACATCAGATATTTAGCCTAGCCAGATAGCTGTATCTAAACATACATTTATTTTTGTCTTTTGCAAATACTGTCAGATCATAACACATTTGATAGTCTAGGCTGATGAAGTATCACTTTTCTCCTGACCCAACAGGAAAAAAAATATTCCTTTCTTCCTGCCATGTAGACTTAATCAGAAATCCCAAGCAGTTATACAAATCTACAATATACACCCTACTGCTGGGACACCTACGTTTACATCACTTAGAATTAGTGAGCCAAAGACTAAATGCTCATCACTTTGCATTGCTAAAAGTTAACGGAATATTCTATTAAGTTCGTGTTCAAACAGAAGAGTCAAAGTGATATTAATATATACACATTTTCAGATTAGAGAGTCTAACGAGAACTAGTTGCAGTTGAAGGTGTACTGTTTTAACAACTGTCAACTTTTCAACAATGGCTTCTGGCAACTTACCTTTATCCACTAATGAGAGGCCACAGAAATTTAAAATAAAACAATATTAGATGAACTGAAAGATTAAAAAGCAAGCTAATAAAATATGATACAGCATTACTATGCCAAACTTTGATGATGCATAAAAAAAAATGTATCAACATTCTCTTGCAGAGCAGTAAAGGCACATATTTAAAAAAAAAATCACTCATGCACATCATGCATATTTTGAACTCTCCAGAGATGCAGCATTCCTGAAACTTTTCTATATCATGTACTGTACAGGGTGCAGTTCATTTAAAATAATTTTAAGTTTTCTTTACATCTCCATTATCTCAGCATGCTTGTTAAAAACACTTTCTTACCAAGCTCTTCAAGCTCTGAGGTCATTGACTTAGACCGCAAGGTCAATGCAGTGGTTGGAGCTCGCTTTGGAGGTGGTGGGGCTTTGCATTAAATAGAAGGATATACAGTATAAGTAAATATACATCTCCAAAGTATTGTATATTCACATATACACTTTTTAGATTCAGCCAAAGATTATCACATGGAATATACATTTTGATTAGATTTTAAAAATCTATCTCCAATATATTCATTATAGCAATATCAAATACATGTACACAGTAATTTCTTTGGGGACAGGAAACAAAACATTCAGTATGCTTTCTGAAGGGCCTAAGAGCTTTTCATGGATTGCATTTCTAACCATTTCTGGCTTTCCTACCAGTTAGTCAAAAAGATCAGCAGGCTTATAATGATATACAGTAGAAATCCTTAAGCTAAGTAATTATACACCTCTATTTTTTAAATGTACCTATCACATTGTGTATGGACACATGTACAAAAAATAACTTTAAAAAGAGTCTGCCTCACAATAATTTATATCATCCTTTCAGGCAGTAGCCCAGGGACACAGATGTACTTTACACTGTGCCCTGAAGGTCAGCTTTCAGTAACCTCCACTGAAGATACATAAATCAGAGTGCACAAGCTAACCTCAGTGGTCATGATAGGAAAAGAGGTGGTTCCTCAGGTAGCTAGGAGCCAAATCATGTAGGTCTTTAAAGATTAATGCAAACGTATGGTTGTACGTATAGGCCAGCGCACAGTCTTTGGAACAGTGATGTAAAGTTAACACTGCTAGACAAGAAAAGCATTAGATTTTTTGCACCACGTGTAGCTTTCAAGTGCTTTTCAATGAGTGCTACACGGTAGAGCAAATTAAAATAACCCTATCTGGAGGTCATAAAAGAGAGTCATATGTTATAGAGAAACTGTCTTCCATCATGACAAATGTAGTAGGAAAACTGGGGACTTCTGGGGACACCAGGTGCAATCAAGGATCCTGAAGTATACCAAACTATGAAGCACCTTGACAAAGCACCTTAGCAAACCAATCAGGGAGACAGACAAAATTCAAGCCATACTCTCTAGTTAAACTAGTATCCCTTACATCCTGTCTGAATTAAGGCTCATTCACCTTGCTGTTATCGAAGCTTCTGTCAGTTAGACACTGGGAAAGTAAAGACATAGCATTGTCCAGACTCAGTGATAAATATATAGCTGTGTCATGAATATACTAATTGCACAACAGGCCAAACTGCCTCACTGTCTCCCCCAGTGACCTTGCAACCAATCTGTTGAGAAGTCTGCACAAGAGAGAGATATTTAATGGTCACCTGACCCTTTGTCCATCATCAGGAAGAGATCTTCAGCCACAGAGACCTGGATAGTCTCTGTACAATTACCAAACCAAGACCACGGTTGACAGGGATCAAAGAAATCTGTGACCTCCAGGTGATTCAAGTGTTGCCTTTTCATCACCTTCTGAATAATCTTGCCCCCCAAAAGGGGGATTATAAAGATGTTAATTTGCTAAAAGTCAACATCATTTAGTAGAGGACTACTGACTGTTTGGCTTGAGAAAAGCTAGCAACCTCTCCTTCTGTAGGGAAGTGTCAACATTCACAAATTCACAAGTTCCCCTTATTTATGGGCAGAAAACATAACCTATGTCAGTATAAAGAAATGCTAGGTGTGTCTGGAACATGTAGCAGTAAGATAAAGCAATTCTATCAATATCATTGTTAAAAATAATGGAAGAAAGAGTAGTTGGGTAAGCTTTATTTGGGCTCAGTATATTTTCTTCTTTTTAGGTATTCTAATTTTTTTAAAATCTAAATTCCCAGTGAATTATTAAAAAGCAAAGTAAACAGAGTGCAGTTCTTCAAAAGGCACATCTTTGAACAGAAATGCATTTAATAGGACTGGTATCCATTTGTTCGATCCTTCCCATTCAAAGACTAGTGCAGGCATGACTAAAGTCTGGCCCACAGAATTCAACAGCTTGGCTTGATGTGGCTTGGGGGGGGGGGGGAAGGAGGGGGGCTGATCTTTAATACGTAGGATTACCTCAGAGAGACCTCAGCTGTCAGGTCACACTGATCAATATGGAACATCCATGTTAGGAGCAAAGAAGTTAGTGTGCGTGTCACTGTTATACTGAAGAGGTCAGCAACAATATTCTCTGATTAATACCAATTACGTGCATCTAGTGGCTCCTAACAAGTTGCTACTGCAGTTCCTGGTTGAGCAAACTTTGGGTACCCTTGATCAAGTGTAATTACAAAGTAATTTGGGGAGATTCAAAACCAAAAACGGTCACAACTCTTATGGGTATAGTCTAATTTCAGTACATGGGGTGCCGTACATCAATCCCCATTAAATCTGAAGAAGTTAATATAAATACATGATTTGTGTTAACTCTTTAGTTTTAATGGGAATAAGTGGGGTGCTTTTAGATGAAAAAGCTCCTATTTGGTACGAAGATACTACATTCTGAAAGTAATTTTGCTATGTTTGAAGTAACACCAAGTCATCCTAAAATATCTGCTCTCTTACTGAAGCAGAAGCTTCTCCCTTCTCCAGAGGTGGTAAGGAGGGTGAGCACAACACCCTTTCCTCTGCTAAAAGCTGAGGGAGAGATCCCCTTCCTCCTTGGCTAAAGTGGTGATAGCTACCCATCCAGTTTCAATCTGTTTTAAGCAGTGGGCATCTCGAAATGTATTGCTTTCTTATTAACTTGTCAAGCTAAATATTTTAGTGCTTCATTTTCTTATTTTCACAGATGCAATATTTTCAAATGAACTCAACATTAAAATTCTCATAGGACTTTAATAGGAGCAGAATTGGGTTCGGGCCCAAGCATGTTTTACAATCTCAGCCTTTTTGTCTATGGCTTTAAGTAAAGGACAGATTTTTTTTTCCCATCTCCCTCAAATACTCTAACATGTTAAAAAGTCTGAATATAAAATCTTAAAAGCACATTGCAGAATGATCTAGGACAGGGGTTCTCAAACTGGGGGTCAGGACCCCTCAGGGGGTCATGAGGTGGTTATGTGGGGGGTCGCGAGCTGTCAGCTTCCACCCCAAACCCCGCTTTGCTAGCATTTATAATGGTGTTAAATATATAAAAAAGTGGTTTTAATTCATAAGGGGGGGGGGTCACACTCAGAGATTTGCTGTGTGAAAGAGGTCCCCAGTACAAAAGTTTGAGAATCACTGATCTAGGAAGATGGACTTCAACAATGAACATGACAAGAATGAACTATATCTTTTTCTGCACAGATATACACCTCTACCCCGATACAACGCAAACCGATATAACACAAATTCAGATATAACGCGGTAAAGCAGTGCTCCGGGGGGGAGAGGGAGGGAGGTGGGGGGAGGGGGGAGGGCGCGGCGCTGCGCACTCTGGCGGATCAAAGCAAGTTTGATATAACGCGGTTTCACCTATAATGCGGTAAGATTTTTTTGGCTCCCGAGGACAGCGTCATATTGGGGTAGAGGTGTACCTATAAATGAAGTCTGGCTTTTTCTTCAGCAAATGTAAATAGCTTGTAGATTACATAGTAGAATGCTGTTGCATATTTAAGATGAGGAATATATAATATAGCAGTCACTAAAATAATGTAAATAGTCTCCAGCCTACATCTTGTTTTCCTTAGAGCAGTACCAGAAAAAATTCAGACAGCAAAGAGAAAAATGTACCTTTCTTTCTAGCTGTATCATCTGGATCAAGATTCCTGGTTACTGTGACAACCTTAAGAACTAGGTGATTACCCCCTTGTCGAATCATGTTCACCACCTGCCTGTGGCCAACTTTCACTACATTTTCACTGTTAACCTACAAGAAGAAGAAGAAGAAAAAAAAAGACCTTATTTTAGATCAGAATTAGAAAAAAAAATTCTTTCAATTTTAAAAATGGGGGGAGCAGCACAGGAAGTTACAGAATTTCTATATTTTTAAATAAGGAAAATCCATTACAAAAATGGAAGTCAACTGACATTGCAACAGGAAAAATATAAACTAGATCTTAAAATATATGCATGATTCCTTTATTTCCACTGTTATCCATGAAATCAGAAGGAAGAGATTTGGGTTAGTTCAGAGTTAAATGTCACATCACTTTCCTCCCCCCCCATACAACGGGCAAAAGGATTGATTTTCTTAAGTTGACTATTTACTTCTACATTACCTGCAAATATTTATGTCTACTGTTTTTTCTTTCATACATCCAACAGGATATATAGAGGGTTTTCATTTCTGTTCAGATCCAGGAAATAATTCAATTTCATCCCTTTGAAGAATTCTGATACTTAAGAGGCTCTTTTATTTTATGCTCTTCTCTATTTGCTTTTCAGTGCTCGCCCCTTCCCCAGCTCTGCATGAGCCCAAAGTAACAGAAGCAATGACAGCAGGGCTAGCACAATTCGAAAGCATTCTCACAGAAAAGGAGAACAGTAAGTTAGCTATTGTGTAATCCTAACCCATTACAACTGCACATAGTCTGTGGACATGAGCTACAGTTTAGGCTCTGCCGCTGACTGTGTTTGTGACCTTGGACAAGTCATTTTACCTACTCTGTGCCTCAGTTTCTCTATTTATAAAATAGAGGCTATAGAATACTTATCTTTGGAAAGAACAAGATTTTTGGATGAGAAGTGCAATATTAGTGTAAAATATTATATTATAAAACTCTGGTTTTGGAATAAACCTTTAAGATTTATATGCAAGTCACTGTGTTCTATGGCTAGCTGACTATACTGAGCGCTATTGATTTAACCTGGAACTGTCATTAATGAAACTGTTCAAAAATTATTCAGCATGTCAAATGGCACAATAAATATTATTCACTGAGCTTAATAATTAATGAAGCAAGACATTTTACTTAACATCTTTTACAAAATAATCACCACAAAATACAAAACTACTGAAGTACCCCTTGCATGGGATCCAAGATATGTTACACATGGAGTCATGAATCAACATTGTAAATATTTTAACTGAAGGAAGGTGCTCTCGGTCTAATATCCTTTAGCTACTTTGACCACTGTGATAGAACATCTCAAACAATGGCACAGCTTCAGTTCATTTCTACATATGGCCAAATGGTAACAGGCTCTAGACACTATTTTCTTTTACTGTTGTCCGTATCCACTGACTTTCCCGCACCCCTTAAACTTGCGTAATATCAAATAGCTATTTTTATACACGAAGAAAAGATGCAATTGGAGTACTATTAAGTCCTACACTATTTAAGTTAGTTCAGCTTGCTCATTAACTGACGACAAGCAGTTGAACTCTTATTATTATTACTTACATCAGAGCAGGATAGGAAGAAACTACATGTCACATTGGTGTTGGAAAGTATGTGCAGAGAGAGAGCCCTTTCTGCCTCTTCTACCCTGCTGTTTGAGCAGTATTTAGGTGATGAACTGAGTAAGGACCTACAAATCATTCAGGACACCACAAACATAGGAATTGCCTGATTGGATCAGATCTGAAGTCCCTCTAATTCACTATCATCACGGCAATAATGGCAAGCACCAGATGCTTTGGAAAAGAAAAAAAAAAAAAAGGGCAAGAACCCCACAGATGGTAGACATGGGATAACCTGCCTCCACCATTAGATCTCTTAGAGATCAGTTTAAGCTATGCGTACACCCTGCAAAATGTTATCATTAACTATTTTCTCTACCTAGTTATTTACTTGAATTTTGCCAAGTTCTTGGCCTCAGTGACTTCTTGTGGCAATATGTTCACAGGCTAATTATGAATGTATCACCTTTTAATATAACTGAATATCCCATTGTTCTTGTGTTGTGAGATTGGAAGAATAGATGTTTTTGATCTACCTCCTCTATACCAAGTATCATATCCCCTCTTACTTGTCTCCTTTCTAAACTAACAATCCCAATCTTTTCAATGTCTTTTCTTATGAGAGTGTTTTCATGCCCTAAACTTTCTCACATTTCTCTGAATCTTCTCTAATTCTGCAATATCCTTTTGGAGATGGGGTGACCAGTACTGCACACAGTATTCCAGATGAGGCTGCACCCCTAATTTATTTAGACAAACAAGAACAAAATGCTGTTTTTCCCCCACCATTTTGAATTATTTCTGTAGTATATAGTCCTGGAACCTCCGTATTGTAATTCTGTGTGGCTTTCTGCAACATAAACAGTCTATCCTGACTCATCTTAAAAATTAATGGCGCCATCTTTAGTTTACATTAGCATTAGAAAAATGATGTTGTTGACTTGAATCTCATGTGATCTCTTAATTGTTTCTAAGTTATAATGTTGACATCAAGCACCGGGACTATTTTTCCTGCTAATGGCAATTTCAGGCTGAGAAGATAGCCAATAAGAGATCCTTAAAATGGAAACAGTTTACAGTATTCATCAGCAAATGGAGACAGGCAGATGTGGTAAAAGAGACAAAATTGCAGACTCCTCTATGCATGTACATTTTGTAATTATCGTTAACAGATCAACATTCAAGTCCTAGTAGAATTTATACAGAAACAAATGCCAATTCTTAAAAATACAAATCAGAATTACAATAATTTAAACTGAATACAAAAATATTAAGCAGTACATGTTTGCTGCCAAGTCCACAGGACTACGTTAACGTAAACTAGGCACGTTTCAGTTCATGCGAGCAGGGTGTACATAGGGCAGTTATAACCCAACACTTAAGTGTGCACTGCAACTCAGACTCCTGTAATCTGCACTGCAGAGAAGCCCCAAACCCACCAAAGTTGAGTCACATAATACAAAGTTGACATGCCTTGTGGAATTATCATACCAAAATTTAGTCTTGTAGCATTCAACTTTAGGAAGGATAATTTTAACAACAGCAATTAAGAACTCAGAACAACATACTTTTCAGAATTTGACAATGAACATTCAGGACTGACCACGTATTTTACTAAGCCCATCCTGTTTCTAGTGACCTCTGTATAAAACCTTTAGATGGTTTCATTACTATACATTTTAAACCCATCTTCCATATATTAAATCATTACAAATAACCAAAAGTTATGGTATTAAGTGGGAAATCATGAATTTTGGGAACCTTGAAATTATATTGGTGTGGGTAACAATAACTTCATTACACGCCGAATAACTATTTTTCATACCAATATGTGCAGAATTTCAACTCTACGTAAAAATGAATATTACATTAAACAATGCATTTAAATAAAGAGGAGTTGGGACAAACCTGCACATCAGTTGGGAATTAGGTTCTCACTTTTTATCCAGAAAATAGATTCACAGAGCTTGAGGCCAGAAGGAATCATCAGATCATCTAATCTGACCTCCTCTATAACACAGGCTATTAAATATCACCCAGTTACCCTTGTATTGAGCCCAGGATCTTGTATGTGATCAAAGCATAAGCCTTTAATGCCCCAAATGGACTTGCCTTGCCCTCCCTGATCAGTTTTTGATATCATCAGTGTCACGATAACTGATTGCTCACCCTGTTTTAGTTCTCTAAGATCCAAGGCCCTATCCGAAGTATCAGTTTCTAATCCAGGCACCAGTTCACTGACTTTAAATGCGTAAAAAAATGCCACCAAGAATGTGGTCTTAACAAGGATGCCTACTGGCTGCATCAGCATACCTGGTAAAGATTTGTAACAGATCTCTAAGAATCTGAATAGTGAGGGACCATTGGGGATCTTCCCTAGAGCTTTTGGCTCAAGACCAGCTCTCTAGCAACCTCATAATGAAAAGTGGGCCACAAGGATGTGGGTAACCTTCTATAAGATGTCATGCCTGACAAAAGAACATAAATGGTCAATGATACCAGCCTGAGATGTGCCAGTGACGCCATTTAACACACACACACATATCAAACAAGCTTTTTTAAAATTATTATTAAAGGAAAATATCTGACTTCATTTATATGCAGGTGTTAAGAAGTATCCATACAGATCTCTCTCAATGCCCTCCAAAATTAACAAAACATTTTTCAAAGCAAACTAAAAGATACATTAAAAAAGGCCTGACATTAATAAACTCTCTGAAAGACTGAGCATCCATCACTACTAATCACAGGACATTTTAGTACAAAATCCCCCATTCAAAGTTATTGTGATTTGGAGGACAAATAAAAAGGAAGCCCATTCTAATTTAATACAATCTGTCCCTCCACATTGCCAAAAATCCCAAACCAACCAAAATAAAAAAAACCCAAACCAAACCAGAAATACATTCCTGAACTTTTCAGACATTAAATGAGGTAAGATGAATGCACTTTGATGAAAATATATTTTTGGTAAGGGGCCAGTCAGGGAACCACTGTAGTCAAAAGTTCCAAAGTAGTGGTCAACTTGGGTGCCCCCAATACTGTTTGAGCTCATACAGACGCCTTTTCACTTTACATGAGCAAAGGCAGGTGTAAATACACACTCTGAAAATCCAGCCCTATAACATGGTGACCGGTTGGGTTCCCTCACTTTTGTGGTAGAGGGACAAGAGGATCAAAACTAAATAGCTATAATTGAGATGCTGGCTGCAGTATATATATATATATATATGTGTGTGTGTGTGTGTGTGTGTGTGTGTGTGTGTGTGTGTGTGTATAT